AATGGCTGCCAAAAACAATAAACTCGTCAAAGTTCAAGGCGTGAGTTGCCAAAAAGCAGTCCGAGGCGGGTGTCTCTTCAATCTATTAAGCATAGACTGTCTGAAAATTATAACTTGGGGTATATTAGGTGTACCTCTGACACAGCAGAATCTGCGTAGTATTATACAAAGTAGAGTGTAAGACTAAGAGTCCTGAGCATGTGTGGTAACCAGGTTGCCAGGTAACCAGGTTGCCAGGTAACCAGGGAATATTAGGTGTACCTCTGACACAGCAGAATCTGCGTAGTATTATACAAGGTAGAGTCTAAGAGTCCTGAGCATGTGTGGTAACCAGGTTGCCAGGTAACCAGGTTGCCAGGTAACCAGGTAACCAGGTTGCCAGGTAACCAGGTTACCAGGTTGAGTCTGCCTGTTTGCCAGGTTGAGTCTGCCTGTTTTCCAGACTGAGTCTGCCAGATTATATCAAAGCTCAACGTTGTTGTACCTAGTGAGGCTTGCAAAGCGTTTAGCTTGCTGTAAAGTTAGTAACATACTCATGAGTAAAGTCTGCTTGTGATTATAACATTCCTCCTGCTCCTCTCTCTGATGCTAATCTTTGTTTAGGGATATTGTAATCTGCCACGTAACCGCGAAATAATCCATTTATAACTTTCTAAAGAATGATCAGGCGGGTGTCAGGGCTGGAAGTTTTATAGTGTTATACCCACTTACCGTGACCGTCTGATTTTATTCTCTTGTTTTATGTATGCTAATATTTTATGACTGCTAATATTTTTGAGTCAAGTCGGTTGAAACGTTGTCAGAGTTTATTAGTTCATTGCCTTCGTCAAATTCCGAAGTACTTTTGTCAGAGATTTCGATAGAAAAATAAACAGTACGTGGACGTATTAGTCACAGAGTAGGAAGCCTGGTCTGCCACTCAGCATGGTCATTAACCAATAGCATGCACTCTGTTCCTGCTCTGCTCCTACAATTGAATAAGTCAGGAGCAAATCTGGAGCAGTATCATGTCTTAGTTTCCAGTGTAATAGCAAACAGTTGAATATGCAGCAGTGTTTAATGTTTGTACAATGTACGTAATACGTATCCCAGACGAAAGAGCAGTTCCCCCAGCTTCTTCACCTCTCTTTCCACCTCTCTCTCTCCCTCTCTCAGTCCTCGGTCCTTACTCCTGATTAGTTCCCAGCTTACGCATCTGTTCCAAGTTTCCTGCGGTTGGTTTCCCCAACACAACTGTATCAAGTTTGCAGACACATTCCGTTCTCTCGGCCACTAACCTGTTTAACTTGTGCCTACCAGATACCTTCCCTGTTCGCGCAATGTTTGCCTTGGTAATGAATGTACAGAGTCTCTCTCTATTGCAGCTTGTTCGGTGTTTCCCTGTGTAGCGCTGTGTAAATTGGTAAATTACTGAGTTCGGGGGGCTCACATTGCACCAACACCCATTACAGACTGATATGCATTAGTTATTAGTCATACTTACATATTTGATATTATGATTGCGTACATGCTGAATCTTTGAATAGTATTATATAGCCAGCTTTGATAAAGTGATAAGGATAAGGATCGTTTTCGGTGCGATTATCGGTGATTATACAGTGTCACGCTTTACATACGTATCGTGTACGTAAATGCAGTGTAAATCAGTGAAAGGAAAGCTGGAGTTGGTTACGTATACTAAGTTAATCGGATATTCGTCGCCGATATGTACCCACATAACACCTTCAGTCACCTTATGTAACGTTAACTTATTATTTCAACTTTACTGAGTATAATGTTTGCATGTTATAGTTTAAACTTTTTAGCCATGTGCACGGCCTGTACATTCTGACATCCGTTCACCTTCTCTTGCTTTAGCTCTGACATTTGTTCCACAATGCCTCCCTCCAGTAATGAGCAGGTTACTACGGGTGCAAGTATAACATTTTAGGCATCACATTTTATCCAAATTCCTGCGAGTTGTTGTAGCATTTTACTGTACTTTTAGTTCTCACTCGTACAGTTTTCGTATTACGTTTCTTGTCGTCAGTTTGGCCGTGTTGTGGTCTCTAATGTCTGTTACCACACTCGCACCTTGACAACTCTTTGACAACACTTTTCCACCAAAATATCACTCTTATAGTTGTTTAAAGGGGTATTGTATCTGGGGCTGTGTTTGGAGTCCGTTAAGACTTTAAGAGAAGGCAATGGCGGGCTCTGGCGCCCGGAACATGAAGACACGAGGGTCTGGCTCTCAGGGGGTCTCCCTCCACTTCGCCGAGGGAGAAGACAGACCTAAACCTCTCAGTGTATCTGAATGGTGAGAGAAGATGCAGTGCGTATCGTGTGTTGCAATGTAGAGATCATTATGTTTTATAACTGTTGATTCATTCCGTTTTCATGTTATTTGATATGTTTGTTTTTGCCTTGTAACAGGGTTTCCAGTACTGATATACATCGGGAATCTCTATTGCGTCAGTGCTAATAAGGTTTCCACAATTTATACAGGACCACATTCACAAAACTAAACTAAATCATGTTTGTAGGGTTTTAGATTTGATCAATAAGATATGTCAATAAAGCTTATTCAAATTGGGAAATATTTGGACGGCTATTACAAAACTACTAATACATAATTCATCGGTCAAAATTGAAAATTTAACCTTTCAGTATTGAGTTGTTAAAAATGGAACTGTTTTAGTTGTAATTTGAACGTTTTATAAATTTGGCTGTTCAACCACGATGGTTTTTTTCATCAAATACCTATTCTTCACATTTCTGTTCCATCAAAGATGCGAAAATACATTTTCTAATGTAAAATTCTTGACATTATTTTTCTAGCTCTCGTTTTGATACAACGTACGTTGTGTATTTTTGTGTATTTTTGTGTATTTTTGTGTATTTTTGTGTATTTTTGTGTATTTTTGTGTATTTTTGTGTATTTTTGTGTATTTTTCGACTTAGTCTTTAATTTTAAAGACCAGACCTGTCAACTGCGAACCTTTGTCTACATTTTCTTCAGAAAAATAACTCCGTATGGAATGTGACGGTAATTAATCGCGAAAGGAATCTACTAGTCGGTACATGGTCGTCACTGATAGATTACAAAAGTGTGTACATTGTGGTGGTCCTTTTTCTTCGGAAAAAAGCTAGTGATTAGCCGGCATGAAGTCATGGCATTTGTGGTACATGACGTGGTACCACGTTTTAAGGCCGCATATTTTTAATTAGCTCTCCAAGTCCCGGTGACAAATCGACTTTAACCAGAAACTCATTTGTCTAAAGACCTGCTAAATCTAATTATGTGGGCTACAGTTGCAGTTTATCGGAACTGAACGAACATATATTTATCTGGCGGGGATGATGCGTTGATTGGCACTATAATGATAAAATCTGATCAAATTGCTAAATCCTGGTCATTGGAATGAACCATTTGTTGGAATGAAAAATGTCAATTTGGTTACATTGTGAAAAAATACAAACCGTGACTTTCATGTATGGATTTGGATTGCAATGTTCATTTTCCACTTAAGCCTGGATTGAGGATCCTCGGTCCTGACTCAGTCAGGAGGATCGTGCGTATTTAACCTGATTAAAGTCAAGTAAAATTGAATTTGAGGTCTCTGCCATGTTCATATTTCAGAAAATTTTGTCAAGTGTGAAACTGTTTACGGCTCCACCGCTCCACGGAATAGTGTTGTTATAACTTACATTTTATTGGAGTTTGTTTCATATTTGCTGTTTGTTAAGCCCTTAGCCCATCTTCCCACTTTACACGTGGCTCCTCCGTTATTTATAGTTTTTAGCTGAAGATTACTGTGAGCTGAGTATCATGCGAGCAAGACTTAATAGTGGGAAGCCTCCTCCTACCACCGAGTAAGATAAAATTAATACTTTTAGACAAATTAAACTAAATTACTGTTAGTACCGAAAAATTTTGTAAGTGAAAAGTTTTTCTAAAAACTACTTTTGTCCTCGTTTTTATGAAATTTCTATCACTCTGAGCCAATAAAAAGTTGTTTGGTTATAGCTAATTACGTTAATAACAAATAACTAATTATCTCGCGTGAAAATATAACGCGAGAAAAAATCCTGGACAGAAATGTTTGTTCATGAGCTAATTAATGTTTGATATTTCGTATTCTAATCTGTAGAAAAAAATATCGTGTTGATCTTTCATCCTATTATTAACATCGTATTCAATAAACTTGTATGTTAAAAACTTTTTTCCTCAGAAAAACATTCACGCAAATATTTAATCGGATAAACAGTTGTTTAACTAATAATAATAAGATGCTTAATTAACGACAAGCTCGATAAATAATATGCTTGATTATAATAAGTACAGAAAAAGTCAAAGGAGCAGATATGAGTTTAAAACTAAATATGAATAATTCAACTTTTAACTTTTTAAAACTTTAAAGAACCTGTGGTGGGTCAGGTAATACTAATATATATTTACTTTTTATTTGCATAATATTCATGATGTCTTAAAATTCACAACTAAGATCGGAGGAAATTTGACATAGCTGTGGCAGGGTGGCTAGTCAAGGCCTGCTAAATTTACCATAACCCCGTCAAATATAATCTGAATATGGGTCAGTGCTTACCAATCAACTCGTTCACAGCATAACAGTACACAATCAAATTATATGCTTGATTTTCAAATACTTGGTAGCAAAATATTCCCCCACTACCACTGATGTACCGTTTACAAGATCTTGACTTCTACTGGGAACCACTGACCGGGTCCGGGACCCGGGTGCCAATATGTCCGGAGCCTGGAATCTGAATCGATAACTGAACTAGACATCACAATATGATCGCCTTAATTTAATAAACGGTCTGATTTCTAATAGCCGTGCGTGTCATCTCTCGACTCTTGTGGTGCGGTTTAATTGTTTGAAACATGGAAGCAAGGAACCTATTTTCTAAACATCACATTCACACATTCCACAATTCCACCTCCACAAATAGAGATATGAGAATATGACCAATCTCTTACACAATCCTAATTCCAGGCTGAGTAGAAGCCGTTACCCGCACGATGCTCGGAGTGTTGATATGAAATCTGACGAGGATATTGTGGACATGGACGATGTCATCACCATCAACGTCAGTGGCCTCAAATTTCAGACCAGGAAATCAACCCTAAATCGTTTCCCTACCACCCTCCTGGGATCAACCGACAGGGAAAAACATTATAACAGTTCAACTAAAGAGTATTTCTTTGACCGTCACAGAGAATCGTTTGAGACAATCTTGTATTTTTATCAATCGGACGGACTGCTTTGCTTGCCAGCCACGTTGAACGCAGATATTTTTATGGAGGAAGTCAGGTTCTTCAGACTAGGTGAGCACATTCTAGAAAAGCTAAGTCCTGATGTGAGTAACACTAAACAGATCGTCCTACCTGACCATCCTATGCAGAAGAGAGTTTGGCAGGTTTGTTCATATATGAGATCAAGATATTCTATAATTCCCGATAAACACATTAATCGAAAATATTAAATAATCTTCACCGGTTGCATTTTCATCCAAAAGAAGACTTTCATGGCTGTATGCTAATCTAAACCGATGGTCCTATTATTTTAATCTTTTAAAGTGATTTTGGGACCTTGAACAATATTGACTTGTATTCTACCAAAAAGGGGCAATATATTCTAAGTTAATGATACCTCCGGCAGATTAAATTAGATCAAGTAATCGTAACTTTTACAGGTATTTGAGGATCCACAATCCGGTATCTTCGCAAAATGTGTGGCCTATATTGACATCACCATGATCATGATTGCCATAACGTCTGTTTGTGTAGAAACCTTGCCCATCTTCCGTCATGAAGACGACTCAGCGGAACTTAAAGCCAGGTAAAATCATGGGAAATGTTTTGAAAATAGTAGACAAGCTAGTTTGTCTCTGTCTAGCTAAGGCTAATTTCTGCTTTCAAAATTTATAACTCCTTGATTACATGATGCTAACTAATTGTTATATTGTCACTGAGTCAGTATTGATTTCTTGTCACTCCAAATTGAAAGTTAACTATCGTGGTAACTATAAACACCTTTATTCTTTTGTTGAGAAGGACCTTTATTCTATTTTTTAGAAGTTACCAATTCCATCTCACCCCTAGGAGGATACCCCATCTCGACCAGAAAATATTCTTCGGCATAGAAGTCGTCTGTATCATTTGGTTTACGATAGAGCTTCTAGCCAGATTCGCTTGTTGTCCCAACAAGAAACAATTCTGGAAATCCATCATCAACTGGATAGATCTCGCTGCTATTCTTCCCTTCTACATCGGTCTGATGGTCCCTCGAGACCAACAGGACCTCCAATCCTTGGTCTTCATCCGTATGATTAGATTTACCAGAATCTTCAGGATTTTTAAGATGTCTCGACATTTTGCAGGACTCCTTGCGTTGGCTTATGCGCTGCGAGCGGGTAGTCGAGAGTTAGCCCTTCTATTTCTCCTCCTCTCGATATGTGTGGTTCTGTTCAGTAGCATGGTTTACTTCGCTGACCTTCACCAACCAGGCTCCCAGTTTAGTTCGATAATAGAAGCGTTTTGGTGGAGTATAGTGACAATGAGTACTGTGGGGTATGGGGATTATGTACCGGTATCGACTTTGGGGAAAATAGTGGGGGTATTTTGTGCTCTGATGGGAATCTTGGTCATTGCACTACCGTTTCCTATCATTGTATCAAGGTTTAATTACTATTACGAACTTGAAAAGTCGGGTAAATCCTTGGAAGAGGGCGAATTCGAGGAGGAATACGCCAAACCTATGTTCATGGGAGTGATATATGCTTTCAAGCGATCTAAGGGAGACCTCCAGAACAATAGAATTAGCGAGGAGGAGTCTCCAAAAGTGGAGGAGAAGTTTACCCACGGGTACTCAGCTATACCAAACTCAAACGATAGAAACAACGACAACCATATAGCATCTCAGTTGTGAGCAGCTCAGTTACAGTTTTAAAGTGAGGGAGAGGACGTAAGAGCCAAGTTTTTACTGTTAGTACCACTGCTATTACCAGCTTCAATTTCGTGAGAAGAAACGAGCATATTAAATATTAATATGTTGCACTTAGGCAGCGCGGCATACAGATGGTGTTTTTGACACAATACGCCTCCCGACTCTTAGCCCTTTGAAACCACGAATAAACTGTCATATTAAACTGTCATCACTTTACTGTTCAGATCTGGGTGAAATGTCGGGTGGTGTAATGTCAAGGGTACAAATCGTATTTTTGTGGTATATCCTATTATTTGTACTAGATTACTTGCTGTATCAATTAATTACAGTCTAGACAGAAAACCTTTATTTGCAATTACGGTTTTTATCTTCATTCGGTGGCCTTATCTTGTATCACGAATTGTAAACGCATGTGTTCAATTTAGCATCATGTGAAATATATTTGAAGGAATGTAAAAGCTGACTTTTAGCTAATAATCATCTAGCAAATGTATAAAAGTCTTTAATTTTAGCTACTCTGCGGCTCGAAATAGATGGGGAAGGTCCCTATTTTTATTTGAAATCTTCATTTGATGTATATTTAGGACCGCAGAGTAGTTTGTTTTAAACCTATGTCTTATGATGTACCAAATTGAAATTAAAGCTGAAAATGCTGAGCTGCAAATGATCAGTTTATAAATGATCAGTGAATAAATGGTTGAAGATGGGACATAGTCAGGAGAATTTCTGAAGAATATTTTGATCAGCAATTATCATATATCTCATGGGATTAAATGATCAAATTTCGTTATCTTAGGCAAACCAACCTGTGTATATTTTATTGAATAGTCAAATCATACAAATTTAACGTATTTGTTTTATTTGTTCTTTTAAGTACATGATCGTGTAATCGAAAGCAGTTACACTTGCACAACAAAATTTTCATTTCTGAAATTCTTCATTGACGAGTGTGAAGCATCCGTTGGGAGTAAAGCTTGTTCATACCAAATAAAGTTAGTTTTTGTGGTCGCACTAGCCAATACGGGCTCACTTTACTAGGGGGTGCACCATAAAAATAAACTTGCTCGGATTTTTAAAATTTTTGTACCATTGTTTTCTAGAGACTGTGAGAATTTTCACAATACCAAATTTGTCATACCTTTTTGGAAAAATCAGTAAGTTTCGCCTAGGTGCCATATTTGATGGTGCGCGGCTTTTGGAGCAAAATTAGCTGTAAAAGTCGCGTAATTTGACAAAATTTGACCAAATTCGTTGATTTTTGTCGTATTATTTGGATATATCTTCAGTTCCTTGAATGAGATCATTCTGAAAATTGGCGACAACCTTCCAACAGGGCTTTCACGACTGTCCGAAAAATTTGGTGGATATCAGAGTTGATATAGTGATCAAAATGGGGCAAAATACGCTGCTTTTAGCTGTATCATAATGTCTAACTCTAATGGTTGGATATGCTTTAAACTTTTCGGACACCTTCCTTGTAAGTCTATGAGTAAGCTTACCAATTTTTGTTGCAATCAGAGGTCGGGATTGTAGCGCGATGCACTACTGGGTCGCGCGCGCATCAAATATTGCTTCTCGCTTCGGTAGATCGGCGAGATGCACCACTGTGCCTCACCGAGCTGCGAAGGATTGACATCGTGAATCAAAGGTCGGGAAAGATACTTAATATCTATTTGTTTGAAGAAAATTGTGCTGGCCGAAATTAGCGCTAAAAAACCATCCTACAGTCGGCACGCGCGGCTCACTGTCGATGGCGCACTACCTAACTTTACTGTCAAGTGTCAACTTAAGATCGACTACTCAAAAGCATTTTAAGTTTTAACCCTATATCATATTATTATTTGGTGATCCTGAATCAGCGTTCAAAAATATGAAAAACGTCATGCTGCAAGTGCATGAACAAGTTGATTTCGCGACTTCTAGTTCTAGAAAAATGCCGACATTCGAGTCATGTAACGTGATTCGGCAGGTTCGTGCTCTGCAGTACAAATATGTACTTTCCAAAAATTATCAATATTTAAGTTCACGTACATCGATCTTACCTGAAGCTATTACTATTATGTTCATAAACATTAAACATAGAGATTCGGCGGAATGACAGGCTGCAGATCTAGAGCGCCGCCCAGTATCACATAACATCTGACATCAATCGCGTAGGTTTAATTTTATAACTTTATAACTTTTACTTGCCAACAGCCAAGAGTCAAGACGCGACGCGCGCCGAGTTGGACTCGTCGACAGTCTTGCCCTTGGTTACCTGGGGACCCCTCACCCAAGGCTATTAGTATTACTATTATATTTATGTTTTGTAGCGCGATGCACTACTGGGTCGCGCGCGCATCAAATAATGCTTCTCGCAACCACAGTAGTGTGCAAACCAACATTCGAACCACCAGCAGCTGGTGGTCAATTTCCTACGAACGCGACTTAATTTTGGTTCAGACTGGAGTCGAGCGCTACGTTATAGCTGTATATATAGCTCGTTTCACGACGAAATCTTCATTTATTGAGTTTGTCTGTCGATTATGTTGGAGTTTGTATTTTTAATTTTGTACTCGAATACTGTTAATTTATTTTTATTAAATAGTTGTTTTTCGTAACAGCACACTAGTACGTGATTCCTTTTGTTATTCTTACATAATTAGGAAGATTTTAAACTTCAATACTATAAATAATCAAATATTTACGAACACCGATCATCGGTATGTACCCATTATGCATTATTGGTATCGAAGTCTTATGTTGAGCTGGATATCGAAAAATTTCAAAATGTAAGGCTGTAATTTTGTACTTGTTTAGGTGTAGAACTAGGATTAACAACTTGATTGCTAGGAGCTAGGAAGAGATTTTAGTAATGATGACCCTTTAAACTTAAACTATATCTCTAGTGCACTTCGATCGGTTTTCTTTTCAATTTTGATAAAACCTAGTCGTGATCTTTGTTTCAGAACTTCACTAATTTATTAAGTTTTGTAGTTTATATAGACGGAACATGAGCAGATACCATTTGATTAATTATAATATATCCGATTTGAAATATTATTCTGTCGGAGTTTGAGTTCAACATGGACACATTTATTAACATCCCGCATGAATTTGTGTCGTCTTTACAATTTTTTGCGCTGAATTTGTATGCTTATTAATACTGCCGCATGATATCAGTAGCTGCTATAAAACTAGAGTGTATAGCATGTGTATTATACGATGTTTCCCACGTAAAAATCGCAGGTTGTTTTGGTGCGGCTGGGCACTCTACTGGTGATTGACACCAGAGACTGAGAAAAACTTTGACATAATTTTCAAGTTTGATATGACCTAATAACTACCACATTTACAGGAAGTATGGTAATACATTCTTGTCAGCTGTCTGGGCAAATCTTCTCTCGCAGAATTGGATTAAAATTTAATGTATTTTATTTCTCACTTCCAACGATGTCGCAATTATTAGGTAAAATTTGAAGTTATTTTGAGATTCAATTAATAAATTTTAGATTGCAGCTTGATATCACTTAGTATGTACATTGTACTCGGTTGCAAGGGTAGAACTTATGAGAATACTATCATAGTATTATTGCACTATACTATTATGGGTTCATCAAAGTTCGTATCATGATTTGTCACAATTAAACCATCGAGTCACTTGAGGAAACCCGTTAAAGCTCGCAATTGGCGACGAGATAAAGTTTGTGGTACCTCTAGATGTTAAGTTAACTCTTAGGCTCCAATCTTCCTTACTATACCTACCACTCCTTCTTCCTTGATAAGAAGTAGATCCATCTGGAACAGTGAGCTGCTTCTTCCCTTCTATCCCGTACTAGCCTACTCAGCTCTCTCCAAACCGTGAACAACTACTCCCGGTGCTAGAACTTTAACCGCATAATTATAACAGCACAATTCTTTCGCTTGAATCTCAGTCTGCTGTAAGACTGCTGTACAGGTAGAGTTTTTACTCGTATGATTCAGCAATCTGTTTTTTAGATGGTACCGTTACCTCCCGCCATAAGACTGTGCCGTCTTGGTGACCTTGAGAATATCATAAGGTCCGATATATAAAAGCACTATCCAATATCGAGACCCACTCAGGCCAGGATCCCAAACCACGACTCCTTTCGGTCGTCTGTACTTGCTTTTTTCCTCCCAGCATGGACTAAGTCAATGATACTGTCTTACATCGCTGGCCTTGTTCTTATAAGTGTTCACTCGGCGCTCACAAGATAACATGTTCAGAGATCTGTTGCAGAACCTTGTCGTGCCGTCATTTATATACTCCTTGACTAAGAGCTACTTTACACCTACAGCAAAAATGTGCTAAATGATACCCATCCTCTCCTCACATCACTGTACTTGCACTTACCATCCTCATCTTCGCCATAGAGGTGGTTAAGAGGGTGACGTACACAGCATCTAGCACGAATCCAATAAGTGAGTCTACAGTGCGTGTCGAAATACATTGCATGTACCCTTATATATTAATTGAGACAGAATTTTAATAAATCAACAAATTCTTAAAATTTAAAAAGGTAGAATTTAATTCTATGGCATTTATTGAAACCTGCTTTTTTAAAGTTGAGAATTGGTTTCAATTTCTAGAATATCACGATAATGTTGACTCAAAACTGTTTCAGGCAGCTATCAAGTCTCAAGATATGACATAATTTGATAGAATGTTAGTACCAACGCTATCAGTGCATTGAAGTCGAGTTCTCGATACAGGTATTATAATTAGGTTCTATCGACCGTTTTTGTAGTCTTAACTCATTTTTATTTGTTATTATACGACCAATTAAAACCTAGCAAACCAGACTTCTTTATGTGCTAAATGTTACTTTAACCTTAATAATAGCAGCATTGTGGCAGATATCCAGTTACATTTTTTCCAGCCGTATATTATAAATATACAGGGTGGGCCAAAAGTCAGTGTGCAAACGTTGGCATTAATAGCTCAGTCACTGAGTGCCCAATTGAAATAATTGGTTCTGGTATGACTTACTACCACCACTGGTTCGAGAAATTTGTCAAATCGAAACATATTTGTGTTCATTGTTTTCAAAAGAAGGTTCATTTTCGCATTTATTTGATAGTTTGGATAATCGGATCGAGCCAAATTTTATTGAATTGTGTTTAGCCATTTAAATTACGTTTGCTCTAAAAAAATGAGAGTATATATATATTACTCATGCAACTAAGATAAATTGAGTATAAATACTCAATTTATCTTAGTTTAAGTTCCAAGTTATATAACTCATTTTCTAAAGGTCTCGTAAACTTTAATCAATTACAGAGAGTGTGGCCTCTTTTTCACTGAAAAGACGCCATCAGATTTCATTGCATTCTGGGACCAATTTTGGTGTGATTTAAAGTATCCTACAAATTGGTGTTTACTGTTTCGACTTTTGTAAAATCACTGTAACAATATAATCTGTATTCTTATAGTTTCAACCATAATAGTGAAATAGAGGGGCTGGCCAATAGCCACACCCTCTGTAATTGATTTAAGTCTACGAAACTTTCAGAAATTTGTGTGTAATTCGGAGATAAATTAAACAAGTTGTTATCGGCCACCATGTGTAAACGGAATGTTCTAGCAGACTGTATAATACTATAACATACATTTTCTTACACACACATAATCTAATCTCTGGAATGTTGCTATGATATCAATGGCAATGTTTTGATACTGTGTATTATCATGATTATGCCTTACAGGCCGATCTTCCGATGGAGTTTCGGTTGCCATGGCAACACATCAATATGATAAAGAATTTGTAAACGCAGTCACAACTCTGTCGTGTACACTGTACGGTGCGAGCGGTTATTTTATGATAGGTAACATCTACTTTTTCAGCATTTGCG